TCAAAGAGTGATGTGGCTTTGCAGACGCAGTTAGCAAAAGAAAGTAAAGGTAAAGGAAAGTGGTTTGACAAAGGTAGAGGTGACTACAATAATTTGACTGGTAGAGGAAACCAGCAGGAAGGAGTTGTGTTGAATTAGAGAAGACCCTAATACCAAGGAAACCAAAGAGGTGGTGCTGAAGGTAGAGGAAGAGGTGGTGGTCAAAAACATGACAAGAGTAACATCCAGTGTTCCAATTGGCAGAAGTATGGTCACTATTCTAGTGATTGCCTAGAAAAACAAAAGAATCAAGAAAGTGATGCAAAGTTTGCAAAGTATTAAGAAGAATAGATGTTGCTGATGGTCACAATAAGAGATGAAGGAAATATCAAGGATCAGTGGTACTTGGATTCGGGATGCTCATCACACATGTCTAGAAGAAATATTGGTTTGTCAACCTAAAAACCTTAATAAAGAACATGGTAAAATTTGAAAATGAAAATACTCCAGCTGCTGAAGGTATTGAAGATGTTCTGATTATGAGGAAAGATGGCAAAAGATCAATAATTTCTAACGTGTTGTACATACCGAGCATGAAGAGAAACTTTATCAGCATAGGGTAGTTGGTTGAAAAGAATTACAAAGTGTTAGTCGAAGACAAGATGATGAGAGTCGTCGAAAAAAATTGAAGGTTAATCTTGAAGTCTCCCATGTCTCAAAATAGAACCTTCAAGATTGAACTTAATGTAATGGAGTACAAGTGCCTTTCGACTGCAGCTAGCAGCGACGAACGGATATGGCACTATCGATTAGGCCATCTCAACTTCAGGGACATTAGGGATTTGAAGAGAAGAAATATGGTTTCAAGATTATCAGAAATCGACATTCCAAATGTGGTGTGTGAGGAATATGTGCAGGAGAAGCAACATAAGAACAACTTCAGCAAGGATGCAGGAAGCGATTCGTAGGCAATACTCAAAGTCATATACTCTGATGTATGTGGACTAATCCAGGTGGATTTGAATGGAGGTAACAAATACTTTGTCACATTCATAGATGATTTCAGTCGAAAACTATGGACTTACCTGATCAAGAAGAAAAGTGAAGTGATCGAGGTATTTTCCAAGTTTAAATCTATACTCGAAAGGCAAAGTGGTCAAAATCTTAAAGCTTTGAGAACAGATGGTGGTGGAGAGTATGTGTCGAAAGACTTCGACAAATTATGTGAAAAAGAAGGGATTGTGCATGGAGTGGTGTCACCCTACACTCCATAGTAGAATGGAACTGCAGAAAGGAAGAATCGAACCACGTGAATATGGTGAGAAGTATGTTGAAAGGCAAACATTTACCTAAAGAGTATTTGGGGTGAAGCTGTGTCGACTGCAGCATACATATTGACCAGATGTCCGAAAAAGAAACTAGAAGAAGTTACTCCAGAAGAATGTTGGTTGGTGTTAAACCTAGCTTAAGTCATCCGAAGGTATTTGGATCTATTGCACATAGACATGTGTCAGATCAGTTGACAAGAAAAATTGATGACAAGTCGAGTCAGATGATCCTAGTAGGATATCATTCGACAGAAGGTTACAAGTTGTTCGACCCAGTGAACAAACAGATTGTGATCAGTAGGGACATAATCATAGATGAACTTAAGAAATGAGATTGGATAGAAAATGTCAAGAACGATTCAATGGGCATCTTACTTAAAGAACCAGAAACCCGTGTCAAAAGAGAAGTTCGATAAGAGAAAGTTAGAGATCAACCAAATACAAGCATACCTCAGAGAACAAGACACATGTCTGCAAGGTTGCAAGATTATGTTATTACATCAGATGATATGGTCGATAATGAAGGTGAGATGATACATTATGCTTTTTATCAAAATGTCGAACCTGTCAATGCAGCTGAAGCATTGAAGGATTCAAAGTGGGTGAAAGCAATGAATGAAGAAGTGAAGTCCATCGAAGATAATAACACCTGGTCACTTGTCAAATTGCCTCAAGGCAAGAAGACAATTGATGTAAAGTGGGTATACATGGTGAAGTTGAATCCCAGAGGGGAAGTAACTTGACACAAAGCAAGACTTGAATAAATAAATAGGATGGTTATTGGTCTAGCATAAATAAACAGTTGACACATATGTCAGATGTACGTGAAATGTGCATTCCTAAATGACCCCTTAGACGAAGAAGTTTATGTTACACAACCAGTTGGGTTTGTGAAGCACGACGAAGAGAGAAAGGTGTACATGTTGCATAAAGCCCTGTATAGATTAAAACAAGCTCCGAGAGCTTGGAATAAGAAAATTGATAGTTTTCTAAGGGAGAAGGAATTTGTGAAGTGCACAACTGAATATGGAGTATATGTAAGAAGAAGAAATAGTGAATTACTTATACTATGTATCTATATCAATAAATTGTTAATAACAGGTAGCTGCAAGGAGGAGATCGAAGACTTTAAAGGTGATCTCAACAAGGAATTCGAAATGTCAGATCTGGGCGATATTTCATATTTCCTTGGCATAAAAATCTACAAGAGTAGTAGAGGTTTGATGATGCATCAAAGAAGATATGCAGGAGAAATTCTCAAGAGATTTGAGATGGAAGAATACAACTCGACTTCGACACCTGCAGAACCAAGGTTGCAACTGTTGAAAGACTCATAAGAAGATGATGTCGACCCAACTCAATACAGAAGAATTATTTTGTCATTAAGATACTTTTGTCACACGAGGCATGACTTAGCATACAATGTAGGTATGATAAGTAGATTCATACAGAAGTCAAAGGTATCACACCTAGCAGCGACAAAGAGGATACTAAGGTATCTGAAAGGAACTCTCGACTATGGAATTATGTTTCCCACAGTTGATAAAGGAAAAGAATGTAAGTTAGTGGGGTGCACTGATTCAAGTTGGTATAATGATGTTGAGGATCGAAAATCCATAACAGGAAATATGTTTATGCTAGGTGGTGCACCAGTTGCTTGAAGTTCGAGAATGGAACCAGTAGTGAAATTATCAATGTGTGAAACAGAGTATATAGTTGCTTCTATTTGTGCATGTCAAGCAACATGAATGGTGAATTTGATCAAAAAATCACAAGGAAAGATCATGGAGCAATTACCATGAAGATTGATAGCATGTCAGCTATCAATCTGGTGAAGAACCTGATAGCACATGATCGAAGTAAGTACATCGAGACGAGGTTCCATTATCTTCGAGAGCAGATAGCAGATGGGAAGATGAACTTGAAATACTACAGAACTGAGAATCAGATTGCAAACATCATGACAAATGATGTGCAAGTCAAAGTATTCTAAAGACTAAAAGCTATGATGAATATAGATAACTTAGACACGATGAATTAGGTGGTGTGTTGAAAGTGTAATTCCTTGTGTTGAAAGCAATATGTTAATCGCCACAAGGTTATGTCGAAGCTTAGAGAGTAAAGTTGTATTGCTGTCAAAGTGTTGTAAGCAAGTTGTACACACAAAATTTCGTCCTAGATCCAAAATAGGTATTTTGGGCTTTTTCTATTGTGGACATTTTAGCTTAGGGAGCCATCTAGCTCATTATAAATAATGGGAGAAACCCCTATTTCTGCAATACATTAAATATTCACAAAATTTGCAGTTGCAAGTGAGTAAAGAAGTTTTCTACAGTTTGTGGGCAAAGAGAAACTCTGCAGAAATCCTAAATCTCTTTTTTTCTTTAATTTTCTTTTTATTATCATTATGTGGTGATAACAATCCTGTTCATCAAGATTGATAGAAATTCATCATAGGTTTTAGTAGATTTCCAACAAAAAAGGCACAAATGCATGAAAATCCAACATTCTTAAAACACATTGTTCATCTAAACTATCTTTCAAACACACTGCTGACTTACATAACCTATCTAAACTTCATATTACACAATTTAATACTCAATGTCTACAAATGTATATAGAAATAAAAAGTGTATAGAGAAATAGAAAATTTACTAAACATTAGTTTTACGTAAAATCTTTAATTGATTGGATGTTTGAGAGTAAAACCTTAAAAGTGAGTTGAGAGAATTTGAGAGAGTTCGAGAGTTGGAGATCATTTGATAGTTTGAGAGAATAAAAGAAAAATGAGGAAGGTAAAAAAGTCTAACGCGTTTTTGATTAGAAACTCGTTCGAAGATATATTTTGTAACGAATAAGTTATACGAAGAAACATTTTCGAATTAATTTTTTACTTATAGAATTAAATTGTGTGTGAATGAACTAACATAAATTAGTTTTGATTTTTCATAGAGTAACTTAGAGTGTTTGGATGAAGCATTTTAATAAGAGAAATTAATTTTTCGAGAGAATTTAAAATCACTTATTAAAATTCATTGTTTGGATACAAAATATAAAAAATTGTTAAAATGATATAAATCTATGTAGTATTTTATCCTAATTAAATTTAAGGAATTTCAAATGACACAAACTGTAAAGAATTTGAAATTGCTTCTTCACTCTGAATAATGTAAATGTTAAATTGTTAATTATTAATTTTTCAAATTTTGCAAGATGATCCTTATATTTAAAAAATTCAAATTCACCCCTAAAATTTTCAAAAACTGCAAATAAATCCCTAATAATTTTGAAATTTTACAAAATAGTCCCTTCAAATTGTAAAAATTATAAATTAGTCCCTATTTTTCATATTTTTATTTGATCCAAAAATTTTAAAATTAGAAATTAGAAATTGGATTTGCTCCAACTCAAGTCACCGGAGTTGGTCATCGACACCGCGATTAATAAAATAGGTATGAATATTTCTGCGATGAATTAGGTATCTGTTTGGTTGTTGGTTACTTTACTTTTGCTCTATAATGTTTATCTACATATCACAGAAATTAAAAACTCTAAAGAATGTGTTCTATTAATTACTGCAAATATCAATATTGTTTTCATTGGTAAATATGTTTCCCATAAGCTTTTGCGTTTATTTCTGACTTTCACAAGTAATGCCTGTTAATTAGGATCCATAAACCTTACTTGTAAGTCATGTCAGTTTCCGAGGAAGAAAATTTATCATCGTCTCAGTCTCAGGTATGCTCTTCATTTTGATTTGTGAATTTTAGGGTTACTAATGCTGAGTGTTATGAATTTTGTATATTCTTACAATTAGTATCACAAATCTATGATTTATGATTTTTCCGTTAAGATGTTAATATATTTATGTCATTTTTTATATCGATTTTGGGTTCAGATTTTTGGTCGTACTTCAGAATATGATTTTCTCTCCTGCAAGGTGTTGGAGATGGACTTTTCTATGATACGATCTCTCCTAACATTTCTGTTCCTGTAAATAAATTGATTATTCAGTGTTTATGAAGGATAATATGATAATTATCAAATTGAACTGTTTAAGCTTTGCGTCACCAGCATAAACAGTTTTTTGTTGGTGTTTTTGAGCTTATCCTTAAGTTTTGTGAATTGAAGTGTCTGTGAATTGGAAGATCAGGGGTAGTCAATTACTTATATCTCCTATACTTTGGATTGGGATGTTTTGCAGATTTCATCTCACTTTTTCTGTGATCTCCTTGATTCCGTTATAGTTGATGTGGCATCAGAGTGTCACAGGATAGCCAAGTTGGGGCTTGATGCTAATTTGGATGAAGAAGACGAAGAATTGAAGTTGTCAGCACAAGCCAGGGCTAGATTGGCTGATCCTAGTAATAGTAATGAATCAAATGGCAAGTATGTGGTTGACATATTCGGACAAACTCATCCTACTGTAGCAAATGAAATATTCGATTGCATGAATTGTAACCGATCTATCGTGGCTGGGAAGTTTGCTCCTCATTTAGAAAAGTGCATGGGGAAGGTTATTCTATTCTCTTAACTTTTGAATTGAATATGGTGATCATTTTCTTAATAATATGTAGTAAGATATTGATAGAGGTCTGTGTAAATTGGTGTATACTTATTAAACTCTTAACATTATGACTATGCTAATGCCCCAACCAATTCAGGGTAGGAAGGCTCGTTTGAAGGTAACAAGGAGCAGCTCCGGGTCAGGCGCCCAGAACAGGCGGTATTCACGAGGCAACAATAGTAGTGCAAATCGGTTGGCAAATGGGAACCTTCGTTTTGCAGGTGACAAGCACTCTAACGGATCATCTCAGCCATGAACTAGTGTGATGTATGAAGCTTGTTTTGCTGGGAGAGCTCAGCACCATATATATGTATTTTGAATATAGTATTTCTCTAACAATTTGGACATAAAATCTACCTTTGCTTTTATCTGTCTATGCATCAACGATCTTGTCTAGCTTTGGAGTTTCATAGAATGACATTTCCTTGTACAATGAATTTCATTGTAATTTTCCTGAACACATTCCTATGCCAACATACCCAGTTTATGGGGAAAATTGATCGTTTGTAGAACCATATAATTTATATAACTTTCAATTGCAATATTCATGATTGCTATGTAGAACCATTTAATTTATATAACTTTTGTCAAAAATATGCCTATTCCAACATACTCTGTTGAGAGAAAAAGAAATACAATTTCATCAAGGCTTTGCAGTACCAATAAAAGAATGTGATAAATGAAACAAAAATTTCCGTTGCCGGGACTTGAACCCGGGTCTCTCGGGTGAGAGCCGAGTATCCTGACCAACTAGACTACAACGGAATGGTGTTTATCCAATTATTTATTGATTTCGATTATTATCCATATATCGTGCTAGAAGAACCATGATGCTTTAACGGTGCGTAAAACATGTCCTAAAAAATACATATATATATATTTTTTAAATTATTCATTTGGTTATTGTAAACAAAATTATTCATTTGTTGCTTTACTTAGTAAATTGTAAACAGTAACATATTTTGGATTATTTGAATCGACTCCAACTTTTAATTCATTTTCTAACCACATAACATTGTTTTTCTTTGGGCAGAATTAATTCATTGCTATGTATAGACGCAGAATAAAAGAGATAGTTGTGTTATGCAGTAGACAATTAATATAAAATTTTGTCGAATCTCTATAATATGTATCATTTATTTAATAATGTGAATGTTAAGTTGTTGTTAGGAAGTAATATATTGTATATCTCGAGTACAATGTCAAAAGAGATTGGACCGCAATATCACCGCGTGAATGCAATGAAAAAAAAGCAAAAGTTTTCAATTTTGTGAACGAGTGTGGGTAAAGAAGTTAGTTCTTTAGAGTAGTTTCGTTTTATAACATGAAACTAAGTAGATGAGTGAAAATACGAAAAAATTAGACATCTCGAGTTTTAAGCTTTGGTACATTGGCAATGTTGGATTGATAAATGGGGTGGAAGACAAGGAGTTGAAGAAGGATATTGTGGATGAAAAGAGTAGGATATTAGATCACAACCTTGAAATTTATAGTGGAATATGACACCTTTAATGTTATTAGTAGTTATGCACCTCAATTTTGGTTATCAAAACACCTTACAGTAAATTTTTTGGAAGATTTAGAAGGCTTATTCTATGATATACCCCAAAGAGAGAAGAATTTTTTAAGAGAAGATCTAAATTGACATGTAGAGAGCTTAACAATAGGTTTTGAGGGCGTGCATGAGGGGTATGGTCTCGGGGAGGTAAATGCGTATGGTAAATCCATCTTGGAGTTTTGGCGCAATCTGATCTCACTATAGCAAATACATGCTTTAGGAAAAGAGATGAGCATCTTATTTCATATAAGAGTGGAGTGACATGTTCTTAGATATATTTCTTTCTTGTTAGGAAATCAGATATGAAGATTTTCTTGAACTGTAAAGTTATACTAAGACAAAGCTTGACTATCCATCATAGTATTCACTACAATAAATAACGCTTTTCATGACGAAACTTATACTTTGAACAATGAAAAAAAATGAGGGTATAGGTCCTGGGAGCGCTATGCTGTATTAATTTTTTTTTAATAAAAAAAATTAGACCTCAGATATTTAATATAACCAAGGTAAGGTAGCAATAAGGAAGCTCCCTTCGACACCCAGCTGTTGCATTTTATGTTTTTTTAATTGTTTAGTATGTATTTCTCACTTGGCGTATTTCCAATTTCCATTTTTATTTTTCTTATTTGTTCCATTACTATTTACCTCGGCTACATGATCCAACTGAGATGTAATATATTTTGCATTAACAATTTCATAATACTAATTTCAAAATCTTTTTAATATTTTATTTGATATATTTTAACCCCTAGATTTTCCTAAATATACGACATGATATATCTTTTAAATGAATTTCCATAATATGGCGCTATGAAGTTATTTTTGTATTTTATATTTTTAATAAAACAAGCACGTCAGTTTTTTGTAAAACCAAAATGAAATTTACTTTGCATGAAATACTTCATAGAACTATCTAGCTAGTTTCTAACTTTTCATTTACCTATCAACACTCAAACGTCAGTTCGTCACTCTCATTTTGCAAAAAACCCTAGGCGATATCAAAACTCTTCTAACAGATATTCATCAAACATAATTTTTGCAACATGTTTGTTCTTCACTGAATCGTTAGTTTGTATATTCATCAACATTAGTTTTTCACTTTGTCTATTGATCATTTTGTTTAGGGTTTCTTTGTTACTTTGTCTTTTGATCATTTTGTTTCTATTATTCTCCATTTTGTATATTCATCAACGTTAGTTTTTCACTTTGTCTATTCATCTTGATAGTCATGGCCGATTTGACAAACACCTTCCATACAACATATGCTGCAAACTCTGTTAATACACAAAGTCGTAAAATAAAAACTAGAGGTGCCACGATGTATACAAAGGTGAAAAAGCCAATGAATCTGGTATTCGACACCCGGTTAGAGTTGATGCAGAAACCGACAAGGTTAAAGGTGAACATGCTGATGATTTTTTGGGTTACATTATGTTACAAGGTATAAGTAAAGTGAGTATTTTGGTAAATAGTTGGCATGACATTGACGACAAATTTAAAAATGACATATGGGTCGATATTACGGTATTGATCTTGTATCCTATCATTTTTTTATAAGTATATTTTTGTTCAATACTAATAACATCTCTATTGTGTAAACATAGGATCACTTCATTGTTACTCCAAATGATAAGTATGTGAAAAAGAAAATGCTTACTTATTATGGTGAGCGTTGGAGGGGAATTAAGATACAAATCACCCATGATTATATTAAACATCATAAAGAACCACCTTCATACAAGGTATATTCATTTATTGATCGAGCTATGTTGTGAAAAATGATACCTCGAAACAAAGTATAAACTTGTTTCTTTATGATCAAGAAACAAATAAGGGTAGAAAAGACGGGGGAAAAAAAGAAGAGCACAAGGAATTGGTTATTAACTGCTACTCTTTACTTTCTCTTTAAATTAGATTACAAGTACTTAAGAATAACAAATAAACCTCTCACCCTTAATTAAGATTTGCAGTATGCAATGATGAGAGACTAGTATGCTATTTATAATAAACCTAACATACTAAACTAATGGGCTTTTTAACAAATACCCATTACAAGCTAACTTAGGGTACAAGCTAACTTAAATAATTAGGCATAACAAACATGCCCAATTCGATGCTAAAAATCCTAGCATTCTTTGACCACTGCATGCTTGATCCTTCTTCGACTACAACATACAATACTCCGACACTAGCATGTGAGCAACCTCCGACTGCATGCTACAACTTTGTCAAAATATAAAAATCAAGAAGATATCCTTCGACCCAATAGAGTTTGATCTAATATCTCACAAATCTCCACCATGGAACAAACTCTAACATCAAAGGAACAAACTATCTTTCTTCACGTAGCTTTACCAACTGCATACAGTGGAAAAACTTGCAACTAGGCAATGTCTTGGTGATCATATCAAAAAAATTATGATATGTCGAAACCTTCAGCACTTGGACTTCTTCATGCTCGATTACCCCTCTGATGAAAAGAAACCTCACATCAATGTGCTTGGTTCTCTCATGATAAGTTGAATTCTTTGACTGGTGTATTGCACTTTCACTATCACATTTAACAATGATAACTTGATCTTGAAGTTTCAGCTCCTTAGCAAAACCTTCAATCCACAATGCTTCTTTCACGGATTCAGTGAGGGCAATATATTCTGATTTAGGGGTTGATAAGGCAACAACCTTCTGAAGTGTCACTTTCTAACTGATTGTTATGCCAAACATAGTGAAAACATATCCATAAAATGGATTTTCTAGAATCCATACAACCTGTATAATCAGAGTCGACATATCCTTCGATTACTGCTTTACTATCTTCACCCAAGGCTCCACCATAAATAAGGACTATGTTCGGAGACCCATTTATGTACCTTAGAATCCACTTCAATGCTTGCTAGTGAGCCTTTCCAAGATTCGCCATGTACATGCTTACAAGACTTACTGCATATGCCATGTCGGATCTAGTACATACCATAACATACATCAAAGAACTTACTATATTAGAATATGGGATGCTATTCATATAAGCTCTTTCGACATCAGTACTGGGATACTGATATATACTCAACTTGAATTGAGGGTTTGTTAGTGTCATAACAGGCTTTGAATTCGACATACCAAACTTCTCAAGAATCTTTCATAGGTATGCCTTTTGAGATAAGCATAATTTTAACTGCTTTTTATCTCCTCGAATGTCAATCTCAAGAATCCTGGATGCAGCTCTCAGTTCCTTAATTTTGAACCCCTTATGAGTTCAACCTTCACCCTTATTAAATATTCGACATTGTTGCTTGCTATGAGAATATAATCAACATAAAGCAACAAAATAACAAATGAATTACCAGGTCAAAATATGAAGTAAACACAGTGGTCGAACTGGCTTCTAATGAAACTTATGTGTGCCATGAACTTGTCGAATCTCCTATTCTACTGTCGAGGAGATTGTTTGAGCCCATATAATGATCTATTCAACTTGCACACATAATCTTCATTTCCCTTTTCGACATACCCTTCAGGTTGACTCATCAAGATTGTCTCATCTAGATTACCATACAAGAACACAATCTTCACATCCATTTATTCCAGTTCAAGGTCGAACTGTGCTACCATGGAAAGCAACATTCAAATGGACATGTGCTTCACAACAGGAGAAAATACATCATTAAAGTCGACACCTTATTTTTGAGTGAAACCCC